ATGCTGTGGGAGACTGTGTCAAAGGCTTTTAGACCCTCTGTGCTTAATTTTTCCCTCCCCTTTCCCATTTAAAGAGAAGGGAAATGGGAGCGTTCGTGGCGCTGCTCCCATTTCTAGACGGGGAGGTGGGTTTTGACGGAGCGAAACGGATTCGTAGGTCCAAAAAGAAAGGAAAATCTTCACATATAGAAGTGGAAACGGTGTGTGTGAGAGCAGCAATCCCACCCCAGATCGTTGTTACTTCCAGATAACAACATCCTATGGTGAAAACGAACCACAAACCGCCCGGGAAGACGCGAAGATGAGGGCGCAGCATCCGCTCCTCTGCCGAGAGCTCTCATTCCCAGCGCAGAGACAGCGATAGTGCAAAAACACCACTATTTCCTCCCCCCCAATTTTGCTCAGGAATTATCCAAAAGTTGGAATCCAAACTGCTTTTCTACCCCAGGAGCAGGCAAAGTCGAAGCCGTGCCCGGTACCTCCCAAAAACAGGGGGGATGAAGCAAACGCTACCGTTTGAGACTGGAGGAGAGCTGCCAAACGTCGTCGGGGTCCATCCCCGCGGGGTCTTTTCTGTGAGCTACGAGGAAAATATTCTTTTCTTTGTAGGAGGTATAGATGGTCAGGATTCCCATCATCACAAAATACGTGCAGAAAGAAGGTTAAGGAAATGAAGAAGTTGTGATTAGAAGTAGAAATTAGGCGGAGAAATTGCTCAGAACTCCCCCTCAGACACCGTTGTTTCACCACCTCTTGTATGATCATTTCATAAAGGATGCTTGGCTGTGGCCCTTGCTATAGGGAGGCAGAGCCCGGGGCTACGGGGAGGCAGAGCCCGGGGCTACGGGGAGGCTGACTTCTCAATATTTAAACCCTGATTTGCAGCACCCTCCTAAAGATGGCATCTGCTCCTCCTCAGCAGAAGAATTGTCCCCCTTCAGTTTGAGATTAATACCGAGTTGGTGTCGGAGACCTGAGAAATCGCCTCCAAATTTGGGAGCCCCGAGAGCCCATCAGCTGCAGGCACCTCTGACGTGAGCTGGATTCCTATCCAGGCACCCAAGGGAAGGCTGGACCCCCAGATGACCCAAATTTCGGTGTTTTACACCCAGAAAGGCAGGGATTTTGCCATCACATGAAGACGATTTGACACTCAGCTGATCTCCACACCACGGGCAGTCAAATGCCCACAAGGGGAACACAGAGAAGGGTTTTCTTGTGCGTCACGGGGAAAATAAAACCCTTTTGGTGTCAAGGAGGCAATAAAGGATATGATACGACGCAAAAGGCGAGAACGGGTTTGGATTCAGGGAAGGGGTACAGGTAATCCCAGATCAGAGCTACGATGGCAAAGAGACAGGAGATTGTGCAGATGATGAGGCGGCCGTCGATCAGATGGAAATTTTCGACGTATTTGTACTTCTCCAGAAGAACCTGTGGGAGAAAACACACAGCAGAGTTTATTTTGTGCTTATGCTAAGTCTGATCACAGAATCCCAGAATATGAGGGGTTGAA